AGGAGGAGCGGGAGAGTAATGAAAACCATCCATCCATCTCCTGACGTCAGGGAGAGAACAAGAACGTTTAGAGATCTGGAAGAGTTCCCTGAAGTGCGTCAACCAGTCTCAGGCAGGCTCTATCCAAGTTTCAGTCTGCATGTTGATTTACTTGAGTTTCACTTCTGTTTCAAATAAGCTGAAAGTATCTCTGTTGGTGAAGTTCAGCTCAACTTGTTACGCAACAGATCTCATGCCTGCAGTAAAACAAGGGAATGTGCACAACAGGAACCCAAAGTACACAATATGAGGGATGAACCTAAATATTGTATTCAAACGGACAGTTATTTTACCTGAAGGAAAAGAAGTCTATAATTAAAGTCTGGGCGTTTTTTATTTCTTCAAATTGATTTCAATCATGTTGGATTGCCACAAGATTAAAAAAAATCTGATTTTGATTTCACATGGTCTTTGAAAAGTTTGTCTATCTGAAGGGGGAAAAATATATTTCTGTAATGGTGAAAAATAGACATGGATCAGTCAAGTGATTGAATTAATATATTTTATCCAATAATAAAATGCAAAAAATATATAATTTGATATAACATTTGTAAATGGGCAGGTTAAAAAGCAAGCAAGATGGCTACGTTTTAGATATGCCTTAAACATTTAAATTCTAGGACTTGTTGCTAACTAAACACATACAACTGCCTTAATGGGATCCTCACGATATTAATATGGCCCTATGCAGAGCCGTCAAGAAATCTATAAAAGTTCATGACCTTGATCTATGTATACGCCTTTCTTGACCTGCTTGAAAAGTCCTTAAATGTATGTTTAAGAAGGTTTCACTAATTAGTCGTTTCATTAAATACATGTTATTGAAAAGGGGTCACTTCAGGCCTGTTTGTGTTCATATAAAATCATTCGTTTTACCCTGTATTTTAGACCCCATGTACAGGGGAACGTTTGCGTTTACGCAAGGTATGCGTTTTCAAAAAAGTATTCCGTTCATAATACACCAAAAGCAGCGAAGAAGACCCCGGAGCATGGTTGCCATGGTTGCCCTTCTGCTTATTCTCCGCGGTGGACGGCGTTTGCTCCTGCTGTAAATCTCTCCGGACTGTCCACCAGCAGATGAAAAACACCCACCTCTCCGCCTCTTCCAAGGGACGAGGGAACCGTGCGGCAGAGTTTCCGGTAAAAAAAAAAAGAAGACATTTCGCCGGTCAACATGTCCGTTAAAGTTTAAATCTTCCGTACAAAATTAGAAAAGTGCCGGTCAGAGGTCTTCTTTGTTATTTATTGAGCTTTAAAACAAATTGATAACGACTCTATATAATAATATAAGAATAATAAACGGAGCCTCTCTTTTCCTCCCCCTCTTCTGACAGCCCAGCAGCTGATCTCTGAGCAGGAGAGGTGGGGAGAGGTAGGCGGGGCTATTTCATCGTTATCAGAAAATGATCGTATAGAGGCGTAAACACAGAGCCGCTTGACCCCCCAGAGCGTTCCGTTTGCAGATCTATCCACCTTGGGACCGTTATCGTTTGCGGGGTCCGTTTCTATCGTTTTGTTACGGCCTCGTGTAAACGAAAGGGCTATACGGAAGAGAAACTATGCGGATACAACCCGTTTCGTCCTCGTGTAAACGGGGTCTTAGTCAACATTCAATCCTGATTCTGTATGCATCAGCCATAGGTTGCATGTTCAACTCAATTTTGTATTGGTTAATATCCCCAAATAAAAGGTTTGTTGTGGTGGTGGGGTTTCATAAGGATGTAATACCATATTTAATATATCATTTAAATGTCATTATTAAATCTATTTGATGCTTTGAATAAGCACAAATTGCATTGCATACTAATGAAAATGAAGTTAACTATTAAACATTAGCATGATTTAACCAGACTTGGGTAAAAAACCATCCCCACTGCCGATCTTCTATCCTAATACAGAGATAACTTTGTAGTTCGAACAGATAATGACATCTTCGTACACCTCAACAAAGTCCATGCTGATAAGATATTTAGTTTTCACGTGATGATAGTGTTGATTGTATGTCTGATGGGTTTATGTTTGCAGGAGATAATGGAGGAAACAGTGGAGAGGACATCCAGCTGACCACTACCATCACACATGTGGACGGCCCCACTGAGATCTACAAGATGACCGGCAAAGAGGCCCAGGAGTAGATGTCCCACTGTTAATAAACCCCCCTCTACTACCTACTGCTCCAACAACTATATGTAATCCAACAGGCTTTTATTTTGACACTGCCTGGCAATACATTGCATCATAGATCCAGCTCCCATTTAACCAGTCCCATGGATGAATATTATCAACACTCCTGTCCTTTTTCATTTCACAGTGGTACCCTTTTCTTACATTTCATACTTTATGTAAACTGTTATGTTTTTAAATGTTGCACATTGTTTTTTTTACACCCAAAAATGAGATTAGCATGTAAAGAAAAATAATTTCTTGTTGGTCAGAAGTTGCATCTGGCAGCTGTCACACTCCTGATTTTTTTTTTTTTTTAGAAGTACAGTGTGGTAAAACTAAATCCTTTTGACAATGGACCGCGTTAATAGGTAACGTTTTTCAGATACATTTAGTTTAATTTATCGCTTAATTTCCCTGTTGTATTCTCATTCAAGGCCTCAGAGCCTGTCACATGTATCTTTCCATAGAAAGTAGATCATGTTGAGTCCTGCGGTCAATCATTCGAGTGGCGGAGATCTTTTTTTATATCATAAATGTACAGACCACATAGCCACTTTGGGAAATGCATACTGTACGTTCATTATGTTACAATGTAGATATCTATTTTTTATAAAGTGTTTATTTTCAACTTCACAACATACATGCATCAAGCTCTATCAATGTTTTTGAAGTTGGCTGTAGCCTATTATACATGGTTCTTAGTTTTGTTTTTGCTTTTTATTCTAATTTAAATAAAAACACTGACTTAATACCCTGATGTATTATCATAATGTTTACTGGGAACGAAGTCCTTATTTTTGACACTTATTCACAAGTTTAAAGAGGAATACAACTAGGGAAGGGATTATCAACAAAATATCCGTAATTCAGTGTGTCTTGCTTTTTGAGATTTTATTTGTTGGTATGAAACATTTGCTGCAAGTAACTCATTAGTTTGTAATTGATGTCTGACTAAGCGTACATTTATAGGGAAAGGCCGCCACTGCATGGCTCATAGAAGAACAACTCCACTTTCACTTTTATCATTGGTTAAGCTAGCCAAAGAGAGCAAGCGTGAAACCGGAAGTCCTATTATAGTTGTGGTTTTACAGATTTTAAGCACAGGATATTTGACATTAACGATTATTGTATTTGCATTTATACGACTTCCTTTTTCTTAGCTTTGACTCCACTAATTATTGGAGGACTATTTTAATAATAAGTTGCATGTCAAATGTATTTATCACAAAATCAGAACACAATCCAAATACATTAAAGGTGGGGTAGGTAAGTTTCAGAAACCGGCTCGAGTGCACTAAAATTTGAAAGTACACAGCCGAAAAGAATCCGCCCCTTCCTTCAGACTTCCTTACAGAGCACCTCCTCCAACACACATGAACGCGCACATGACTTAGGTTGGCTATATAGTTCAGGGGAATTATAAACCATACAAAACAGATAATTACCTGTCCAAGAGAAAAACAGCGACCACGGCGTCAGATTTAAACTCTGTGTGTTATTCCCTATCTTTATTCAAGAGCGTGGTATTTAAATTTGAGAGCATACTTTATTGATTTCCTTCACTCAAATCCTGTCATCGCACCAAAGACAAACCAGAGTAACCGCCCTTACGGGACGCTGTAATGAGTAAAGCGAACGCACCCGCAAGGACACCTGGCCTCCTATTGGTTGAGGGATTTTGACAGGATTGTTGCACAAAAGTTTCGAGCGCGCACAGAATAAATCTGTAAGCAGCAATATATCTGAGTGCAAGCGTACAGTTTGAGCAGAAGCAGAGCAAATCTAAGTGCAAGCAGGCACTATTTGAGTGCGAGGACAGGGTTTGAGGGAAATAAATACATAAAGTATGCTCTCAAATTTAAATACCACGCTCTTGAATAAAGATAGGGAATAAACCCCATAGGTGTGTTCCATCAGTAGTCGCCATCGTTGAAAAGCAACTCCGATATTGATTCTGGTTTGAATTCTCCTAGTTTCCACTTTCTTTTTGTTCTTAATTTGCTCCGTTACATTATTTATTTTGCCACCAGTAGACGATGCTGCACCTAACTCTGCCATGGTGAAAGTGTCCGCCTGTTGCTGGCGAGTCATTGAAGTACTGCTGCAATGCACGCCCAATGACGGCACGCCCAATGAGGGCACGAGATACATTTGTGCGTGCACGAGATGGAAGGCAGACAGACAGGGCGGCAATCCAATCCGTTTAGCCGGGCCAGCTAAACGGATTGGTCGTACTTTTTACAGTATTACGGCTTCCACAGATGACATTTTTTTTAACGGATTTTTGCTATATACAGTCTATGAATTTTTGTCAAAGCACTTAAGATATTCATTGCTATCGGGATGTTAAGAGCATTCCATGGAATATAACAAAGTGTATCTCGAGCCGGTTTCTCAAATGTACCTACCCCACCTTTAATTGATTTGGTAGCAATTCGTTACATAATTAAATAGATTAAACTCTAAATGGTATGCCTAAAAGCCTAATCTACGTTGTCTGGAAACATCTTTGTATTAGCCTAAAAAAAGTAATAGTAGAAGTAGGCTACATTATAGCCTACATAAATGGTCTCACCAAAATGTGTAACCTCACAGGCTGATTTAGATAATTATTGAGGGTATGACCAGTGTCAGTATTAGGGCCCTGATTTATTATTTGCACTACGACGAGCATATATTCTGTTTAATTTCCCCTACGAAAAGTTGTAATACTCCAACCGGAGTTTTATTTTGAAAATCTTACTAGGAAGTAGTACTAAGAGAGCCATTAGCTTGACGCTGTGAACATCCGCCAGTGTTTCTCTCGGTCCGCCTCTCCTCCCGACTCAATTCAGCTGTTTCGTCGCGAAGCGTCCAATTGGCGGAGGAAAGGGAAAGGAGAGGGGGGAGACTGATGTTCTAGAGAAGGAAGAAAGTAAACGAAATTAAATATTAACACCACCCGTCAGCGGAAAGTTGAAGCGGCACTACTTTGAAGTCGCCGCTTTGGTCCATGCAGAGACAGCGTATGGTGTAAACACGGTAGTGGAGTTGTGACATTGCGCGGTGAGCGACACGGCAGAGGGAAAGGTCTCCTCCCAGGCTGTTGACGGATACAGCTCGGCTCCAGTGAAAGGAGACACGGCCGGACCTGACTGTTCACTACCTCGGCCAGGTAAGACTGCCATGTGTCGATAAACTGTCACATTAATTAACAGCTTCTTACCTGAAGCAACAGTTGTTCTGCTCTACTATCTATGAGACATATTTGCTGTCATTTCTGCCAGCTTTCACAGTGTTCATCCGCAACACTTAGGTCGCACAGTTTACCTAACATAGTTTAAATGTCGTTAAAGCTGTGATTTTGGTGACCAGACACATACATATTCAACTTAATTAATATTAATGTAATATACTATTCAACAGGTGATAGCTTGAGTTTACTCGGTGCTCTCTGGGCCTTCTGCCCTGGTTATTCCCTAAAGGCCCCACCTACTGTGTTAGCCACATAATGACTTATTTTGAAAAAGCCAATAGATTATTCCAGAACAGAAAAGCACTTTTATAGACCTAAACTAGCCACTTCCTTCTCAAGAGCTACAAAGATACATCCGTTAGTTAACTTTCAAATACATGTCCAATTAGTTTTCTGGAAAAAGAGTATACATTCTCTGATTCCAGCATCTTAAAAGAGACTACTTTCTGGGTTTATTTACTCCTCTATTACAGCAACATACAAATCAAATATCTTTGACTTGTGGAAAAAACTATTTGAGGGTGTCATCCTCGACTTTCGGAAACACAGACTAAACTCCCCATTTAAGAATAAAATAAAAATAGATACAAATGAGAATACAACTATTTATATAAACATTAGAAGTAAAAGAAAGAAACGTGTAATAAAATAATAAATAAAATAAAAACGAATTAAAAAAACATGAATACAAACATAGGTTGAATCTAACATTTCCAAATTAAATAAAAGATCTGTGTTTTTCCACAAATAATCATAAAAAAGCACCACATTATATCTCGTTTTAAAAAGGAGATATGTTTATTTCCAGGTATAATAAAATAAAATAAAAATTAATATAAACATTAGTAGAGTGAGAAAAAATGTGTAATATAAAAAAAAATTCATATATTTGATATTAATATATAAATAAAATGTGGTTAGCTGTGACTTCACTGACCACACACATAAGTATTATCCTCACTGATTCATGAGTATACTATTCAACAGGTGATAGTTGAGCTTACTCAGTGCTGTCATGCCACATCATTGACTTATTTTGGAAAGCAAAATGGATTATTCCAGAACAGAAAAGCACTTTAATAGACCTAAACTAGCCACTTCCTTCACATTAGTCGATTATGCAATAGGTAATCGCTTGCAACACTACCTGTGTAGTCCAACATGAACCAGCTAGATGATGTGATGGTTGAAGTGGCTGAGATGTTGACATGAAGCCGTGAGCGTCAGCAGCTCTGGCCGTGAGGAGGACAGAATACAGACCGGCCATTGATAAGGCCAACTCATTAGTACCCCATTCACAGCATCAAAGCTTCCTCTCAACGCCCATCAGCATGAGTGGGTCGCTACACACACTGGAAGCAGAGGATCACACACGTCCTGCCTTCACGCTGATGACAAGGGTTTGGTTTTTGGTGTGACACTCATTACGTTTTATTATGAAGGAGTGAACAGCAGTATGACAGACACTGGCCGAGAGTAAGTGCCTCAGAAATCAGACCAACGTGCTGATATTAACTAGAGCTGCTAAGATAAATCCAACTTTTCATTTCATCTCAAACTTCTTTGACAATATATTGGTTCCAAGGGGGAAAAAGTTTAAATATTCTGATACCAGCGTCTGAAAGGTGGCTATGTTCTGGGTTTATTCATTCCTCAATGACGGTAAACCTCATTGCTTTGAGTTGAATAACATCCTCTTGGACTTTAGGAAGCACAGATCTTTCTAGGGCTAAACTCCCCATTTAAGAATAAAGTCAAACGAAAGATAAATACAAATATAGAATACAAATATTTCTATAAACATTAGAAGATAAAGTGGACCTATCATGCTATATTTGAAACATATATTGTAGGGCCATACCTATATAAATATATATATTTTTTCAAAATACCAAACAGATCCTGCATTTTAGCCATGCCTCATTTCGCTCTATTTGCTCTTTCCAGCCCTGTTTTTGCAGGGGGCTGATTCTGTGAGCTGCAACTGACTACACCCCCCTGCAGGAGAGGGGAGTTGGAAGTTACTTTGGCATTAGGGCAGGGATATCTAGATACTTTCCAAGGTTTGACATAATGAATTGTGTTACTTTTAAAGCAAGCAACAATGTTTTCAAATCTGTAATCAAAAAGCTCCTCAAAAACGCTATCGAAGCAGTTCCTCCGTTGCTACGTTAGTTCAAACAGTAACAACGGACTATTTTTCTTAGCGGATGCATGTCAATTTAAATCAATACAACCCTTTTTTAAATCAATAAAATCATTTTCTAAATCCATAAAAGCATTTCAATTAATATTGGGAGTCATGTCGTTACTTTGTCGAGAATGTGGCCATGTAATAAGCGGGATAATGTGCACATTGCATCATGTGCCTTCATGCCGATCTAGATCCCTCCGCTTCGCGTCGGGCTCCTGACCAGCCAGTCGGTGTTCTTTTCCCCATAATGACTGCGTCGCTGCACATTATCCCGCACATATGATTATAGAGTCATTATTCATTTGGTTTAAAGCAGGAGGCGCAAACGCTTGGCTCGGGGAGGGAGAAAAAGAGCCAGAGCGGAGAATAAACAGAAGGGCAACCATGGCAACCATGCAAGGGAAGTCTTCTTCGCTACTTTTGTGGCAGACTACAGCGCCACTTACAGGCCTGGCATATGTACTACAGCGTCTCCAGCGCTTTCGAGCAGCAATGGCCGGCTGTGGCCCAACCTCTCATTCCCCTGATAGGTGGAGAATTGACCAATAGCCGTAGCACCACTGTCCTGACGTCAGGACAGTGTTCAAATCTGGATCAGTCTGTATCAGATCCGTTGCAGCCCCGTTTTTAGAGATTTGGGTATGAAGGAAAAGAGAGGGTTGTGTTTTCTGACACTTGGTGAGTTCCCTGACACACCGGGGACACATATTCATGTATAAAAGACGTACAAAAGTGCATTTTGCATGATAGGTCCCCTTTAAGGAAACATTTGTAATACAGTTAAAAAAAAATTCATATAAACATAAAAAGTATGTATTTTTACTTTATTTTTCTCATACTGCCTGTGCTGCAGCACCTCTTTTCACCCTCTGTCTGAAACCAGAGCCCAGTCTGCTCTGATTGGTTAGCTGGCCGGCTCTGTTGTGATTGGTCAACCACTTCGAGATGTCATGCAACTGAGCCTATCACGCACAATGTGGCGCGAGTGTTAATGATGTCATTATGTTGCAGAAGTAACAAAGGTGTCCAATGGAGGCGTTTTGGTGGGATTTGAGCATTTGCAGACCATTTACATGCACTAAAACCTATGTAACAAACTACAAAAAAGGGAACCCCCCTAAAAGCATAATAGGGCCTCTTAAACTAGAGATGTGGTCATCATTTGCCAGGAATAAATCAATCAACGATAACGTATTATATCGAGTAATGTACTTAAGAAATCCTATCATGAAAAGCTGCATGCTGTTTTATTAGAAATGAAGATGATGACGTCCATGAACAGCTGCCTTGTGTAATGCTGTCGGGTCTGATCATGAGCCTGTCTGCTGTAATTCCTCACAACAAACACTAACCACTTATTTTATTCCCAATCATTTTTCATTTCCTCAACCCGTTTCCTCAAATAATACTTTCCGAGATGGGTGTGTTTTCAAACTCTCTAGCAGCTTTGGTGCTGGTGGGTTCGCCCAGATTGCTGGCAGGATTTAACGTGACATGTGATGCATGTCAATTGATTAGTAACAGGAGGAGGGGGCTATTTGGGAACAATGTCTCGCCTAATGCAAGGATGAGATTAAAAAAACTCCTGGTTTTAGATTTAGGGAAGGATGGATTTGAATCTGATCAGTCTGTGTCCATATGAGTTTAGGTTCTGAACAATAGATGATCTGTTGGGTCATGTGGGAAGTAGCCGTAACCAATGCTGTAATACCTTATCCAGACGACACATGGCTACTGAATTTTACCAGCTACTCAAGAGATTATTAGGGCCCGAGCACAGAGCGCTAGGACCCGACGGCGTCCTAGCACGAAGTGCGAGGAACCTATTGTTATTGGTGGTATTATTATTATAGTGCTGGCGTTTCCTCTTTTTGAGGTCTTTAGGATGCTTCAAAAGTTGTATAATTTTGCACGGACACCAGGACTGGTGAAAAATTCAATATTCTGGAGTCAATGGGTTAAATATTCCAACCTGCTCACTAGCGCCACCTATCAAAATCCCATTTTGGAAAACATTTACAAAGTCGCACCGTAACTCCGAATGACCTGAAATCTTGCACACATATCCGGGTGGACCTGCTCTACAAATAATCCTCTTGGAACCCTAAGCTCCGCCGACATTTAATTTAAATTAGCATAATGTTCAAAACAGTTAAATATCCACTTAATTTTCAGTTTTTCAACACCAAACTTCGTATACAGCATCGGCGGAGGGTCAGACACATTACCGTAGAAAATGAGCATGTTAGGACGATAAATATTGCCGCCGTCTATCAAAACGTACTCGCAAAAAGACGGGGCTTAGAAAGAAATGCTCATAACTCATCAACAATGTATAACACCACCAATTTATAACTCAAGAGCGGATGGACACATTTTTATTTATTTTTTTACACATACTCTCGGGGTGACTACGAACTCAGATTTAAAGTGTCGCAACAAATTCAGAATGTGGGCGTGGCCTATACGTTTTTTTAAAATTGCGATAGCATAAAATGAGCTTCGGACGCAAAACTTGGGACACACGTCAGAGCCCACGACCTTTTCGAGAATGTAAAAAAAACAACGTAATTTTCCTAAAAAACTGCTCACTAGCGCCCCCTATTGTGTGGTAGTCACATATAGTTTCTCAGAACTTAACGAATTTTGGCACAGACATTCCTCATGGAATTGCGGACATATTTGTAAATAGATTCCATTATCCCCGCCCCCAGAGAAGTCGGCC